ACTGCACTATATGTTTATATATATGTATGTAATATTTGTAATTCTTGAATAAATATTGTTTAAAAAAAAACTGCACTTATACTTCATAATCAATTTTGATAGATCAGAGAAGACAAAACTAATGAAATACTCTAGTATGATCTATTTTAGGATACATTTGTACTTCAGATGGTGATAACATATAAATAGTACCTTTTATGTATAAAATCTCTCAAACCTTCATGACCCATGAAAATGGCACAAACTACAGTAGTTAAAAACAGTTGAGCTGACAAAATACCATACACCTTCCTCAAAAATCCTAAAATATACAGAAAACAAAAAAATATTTTTTATTAAAATAATTATTATTATTTATTTTTATATTAAAATGGAATAAAGCAAAAAGTTCAAGTACCGTAAAGTGGGGTTACTTTGCACTATTTATTTTTTAATTTTTGTGTATATTCGTAATGAGTAAGAATTTTGATGCTTTGTTTGTTCTAAAATAGTGGTATAGAATATTTCTAACATTCCCCTAAGGTAAATCGACCTTCTACAATATGTTGGACATTTTTTTAAAAAAAATGTTGCTGTGCAAAGTCTCCCTAGGGGTCGGTGTTACTTTGCACAGCAGAGGAAAAGTTAAAGTTGAGCAAAGTTAACTCATCAATGAGTTTGCTTTGCACTTTAAATTTGTTTTAAAAAAGTATTTTAAACATTTCAGCACAAAATTAACACTTTAACAAAACAATTTGATATCAATTGAAATATTAACTGAAAAAATGAAGGAGTCATATTTTGGTCTCTTACGCTTAAAATGATAGACTGTATATTCGGAGAACTAACAATGTAATGAATAAAACAATGCACACTGCATAAAACCTTTAAACAATAACAAACAGGATTTGAGGTCAACTAACAAGAATAAGCTTATTAATTAAATGTCTTCCTCAAAATACAAAAATCCTCTACGCCCAATCTCTGGTTCTTTAACCACCCCTACTATCATATCATAGTCAACATTAGAAATGTCCTCTGTGTCAGGCCAGAAAAAACAATGTTTGTCTTTTTGTTTCATGAACTTAACCAGATAATCAAAATTATCTTTTTTTTGAATAATTTGACCAACAAATTTCTTTGACTGTTTTTTCCCAGCATATTCCACAATAACCCAGTCTGCTGCTTTTAATTCTACTGGGCTCTTTTTATGCGTTGCAGATTCTGAATTCAAGTTACTTTCACACTCAATGTCATGTGATTCTGATTCAGAGTTGTCATCAGAGGGCATTTCTTCCTCAAGGACATCATTTTTTTTTTTGGATTTGCTTGTTCCTGGTTCTGAATCAACTGTCAAAAGATCTAGAGCTGATACAGATTTACCAGCTTCAATATTAACCCTTTTCTTCCTTTTTTTAGCACACTCCTTTTCTGGATGTCGGGTTTCTTGCAGGTGAGATAGCAGAGCTTGACTTACAGTCTGTGATGCAGCAGCAGTGTTTTCATCAGAGTCTGGTAATTTTCGTAAAATTTTCTGTGGATCAAATGGATGAATTCCACAGGTTTCAAATCCTTTCACAAGGATTTCATTGTTTATCATGCCAATACGTAAACAAAGTTGTTGTAGAA